CGCAAAGTCTATAAAGAGATTCAATGAAGATTAGAGAGCATTCCGACAATTAATTGGGTTCAATGAAATGAAATAAGACGCAGCAGCAGCAATCGAATAAATAAAAAAAAATCATGAGTGAATGATGAAATCATCAGCATTCTTAAGAACTTTTAAATTAAAAGGCAACAAATTGCCGCAAAGATCGATAGAAGCTTTTTTCGCTTTTTATAAATACGCATAAAAATTAAAGAAAAAATGAGATGTATCATCAAAAATTGTAATTACATGGCTTTATAATATGTAATAAGTAGAGAATAAATTGCTGTTGCTGCTGCTGCCGTTGCCTGACTATTTCATTTTTATGCAAATCATCGTTTTGTGTATATATGTATGTAAGTAAGTAAGTATAGATGAACATTATTAAATCTCTTTGAAATATGTTTCTCTTTCATTCAATTCACTTAATGTACCGCAATTTGATGATCGCCAAAGTTCAAAAGAAATCGGAATGGATAGGAGCAAATTGGATAAAAACTCGTACTTTAAATTATTCTTGCAGGTTTTGGATAATTTCGTTCTGTATTCGCACCTAATTTTCTCGAGACTGGGAACCAGAAAGAAATTTTAAAAATACCATCACATCTCCTATCTCGAAAATTTCTAGTATTTCTAAATCAGGAATATCATTATGCTCTTTGCAGTAATTCTTTAGCAGCATAAAGAAGTTCTGCTTTAGCTAAATGCAATCTTTAAACAAACTCTGATTTTCCTATTTACTTTGTCAAAGGTGTGAATTCTCATGCTACCGTCCAGAATGCCTTCATCATCAATTTCATTTCGAATGAAAGCTATTGAAATCATATTCAGTATAATAAAACGTGACGATGAAGTCAGTAGTTAAAATCAGAAGAAGGAAAAAAATCATCCGCACTTCTATTCTTTAGTTATCCATCATTCGCCAACATCCATCAACTCGGTAGTTTTCTTAAAATCCTCTCTCTTTTATTTTAATTATTGATTGATTTCTATTCATTCATGTGATGTGAATAGAAACTTTTTATTATTTAATATTTTCTGCTTTCATTCATTCCTTATCTCTTAGATAGATTCGAGTGTGAAAGATAAAAGTGCTAGTTTATGAGATTTTTAAAAATAGTAACAATGACTGATGTCACAATATTGACAACATATTAAAGTTTTAAACACTTTCCTGCGATGATTTCACAAAATCCTGAAAATGGGATCTTAATACAAAGCCTGCAGTACACAGAGCATTGAGTGTTGTACGAAAATTTGTTTTATCGATTATCAAACCTATGATCGTCATTCCTTTTTTTTTGGTATCGAACCAAATGCAAGATTACAATCCAGGTTGATTTTCACAAAAAAAGAGGCACTTGTAGTACAGAAATTTTGTTCTCATGGAAATGATCAAAAATATTCGCAAGCATCATTAAGTCAATTCTATTGAAATTCTTCACAAATAGACACTTAAAATTAAATGTGTAAAAAATTGAAAAGAGAAGGAGACGAAAAGATCTGAAGAAGATTTTTTATGGATAAGATTGAAGAACTAGTGAAAATTACACATAAAATTAGAAGCTTAATGATGCCGACAAACACACAAAGTGTTGTGTAATTTGATTTAAGTGGGCTCAAAATAAAGTAATGATTATTTTACGTGAAATAGAAAGCTTAATAAGCTGATGCGTTTTTTAAAAAAAATAATTAAGTAATAGCTTTATTGTTTTAAGCTCGACGTTAAACTAATTTCATGCATTTAAAGCCATTTTATGCTCTCTCATGTCTTATCCTTGGATATTTATATTTATTGACAAATGAGTAGACATCATAAGCTATAAAAAAAATGCAGCATGATTTTAAAAATATATTAATATATGGAATTAACCTTCAATTTAACCTCACAATTTAGCTACTGTGAAAAAAAAATCTCTTTTTTATTCCTAGTATATTATAATAATGATTACGATAAATGAGGAGATTGCAAGTGAGTTGCAATATCTCACTTCAGAATTCAGCAAGAATATCTTGACTCAAAGTTAAAAGGGTTAAATCAATAAAGAGATCTCATAAAAGAGCAATAAAAAGATGTGCAGCAACGATGTCAATTTGAAATTCAATGAGATAGAAATTGAATAACGATCTAAAGAAGTAAATAAATCTCCCTCAACAACTGTATTGTGATAAGAGATTTCCTTCCGACCTTTTATCTTTTTCCCCTCTTCCTTATTTTTTTTTTTCAAAATGTATTTCTCAATTTTCCATTTACTTAAAAAAACATTTCCTTTTCACAAGGATATTAAAAAGAGCATTGGAGATCACAATGTGCTGGCATTTGAATAAAAAACTAATAAAAAATGTACATTCTCTTCCTGAATGGCACAAAAATTATGTATGTTGCAATATACAAAAATTATACACAACAATCGTATGAATAAAATGAAAATAAAGTATAAAAATGCTATAAGGAAGACCCTCGAGATGTTTCAATTCGTAAAAAATATGCTAGGCATATTGAAGCATTGTATTCTACTTCTTTTCATTTTTTTAGACACAAACAATTTTTTTTATCTTCCAGTGACACGAAATGTGCACATGGTGCTGAAAATATTTCTTCGGTCATCATCATCGTCATTACTAGCATCACACTATACCTTAAAGTACGATCGATTTCTTTAATAGAACAATTTTGCCATCAACTTAAAGTAAATATGCTATTATCACATTCATTTATTTAAGTATATATATAAATAGCTAGAAAACAAACAAAGACTATAAGGAAGAGAGACTCGAAACTGTCTGTTTTTAATGTTTTCCAAAACTCATCATGACAAATTTTCTATATCATCCACACAGCATTAAGCAAAAAAAAATATTTAAAGACCATTTTACCGCACATTCACCACACATTCCTTTTTATTTCATATTTAAACTGACAGCAATTTAATCCATGCAATTAAAGTTTTGTTGTGCGGAAAATTGAAACTGAAGAATAAGAAACAGAGAACTTTATATTGTTTATTAGGCAAAACTTGTTTGCCATGTGATGTGCCCATTTATAAGAGAGTAAGAAAATATTTAAGTAAATTTAATATTAATTTTTTGTGGTTCATCATCTGCTGATGCGATGAAATTTTTGCATGCCATCGGACAATTAATGGACAAGTATACAAATATAAATGACTTAATACAATTCAGAGAGCTATTAATTGCGCATTAAGCAACGACTGAAAGTTGATTTTTTTGAGGAGTTTCTCTTGCTCACCGTGAGTACTACCCAAATCAGCTTCCTATGCTTTAAATTATGCCGAATCGGTTCCATTTGTTTTTCTTAATACCTCTCGATTGTCTGATTACTAGCGCAAAATCAGAAGCCGAATGCCGACTCCAACCCTTCAAAAATCAATTAAGCGAGATAATATTTGACTTTTTTTTTCTTTCATTTCATGTATTTTTTACATCATCATGTCGAGAACACTAATCTTGATCATAAAAAATGAACTGAGGAGAAAAAAAATGCTGATCGAATGAGTTTAATAATTTTAAGAAAATGAGAAGGCAAATGGTGTGAGTTAACAGCAGCGCCATAGAAGTCCAAACTGTCGATCAAATTATTATTCTTTCTTTTCTTCTGATAACATTCATGACTTTTCATCAATTTTTATTTCAAAAAAATATATACGCGTATGTTCAATAGAATAGGTCTATAAGTTCATGATACAAAAACAACAAAAGATATTATTGTTAAGATAGAAAAGTCTTATGCAGCTATATGTTTGAAGATTGAAATGAAGAATGAACTCAAGTGCCAAAAGGAACAAGAATCAAAAAGATAAAAGTCTATACCTAAATATTGTGCATGAGAATCATGTTGCAAGAAGTTATTTTAAAGAAATAAAGTTTAACTGTTATGATTTTCCGTAATTAATCACGAATAGAATTAAATACCCTATTGAAATATATTCGTCAATTTGAATCTTTTAGATTTATAAATTGACATCGAATCTCATTTCTGAAAATGTGGTAAACTTTGAGAATCACAACAGATTCTTTATTTTTATGAACATACGAATTATACAAAATAAGCGCCATTTTAAAAAATTTGTACGAAAGAGTTCAAGTTTAGAGCGGAATGACAGTAAGAAAGATAAATGGGTTCATTTTTATAAAATGTTGAATCCAACCAGACACTATGTATGGAGCAGTTCGGAGATAATCAAAGATTATAAGATTTGTATGAAAATTATTAAAGATAAACCTCATATATTTGAGTTTTGTCTTAAGAAAAGCAATTATTGTGCTGGATAGTAGTTTGTATGGTTTCAGGAATTTACACCACCTGAATGCTTTACGTAAAAGTTGAAAGTCCCAAACAAGATCTGACTTTTAAAATAAAACTTAAAACTATAAGTGTTGAATTCTTTAAACCATAAAATATTTGTTTAAATCTTATTCAGATTTATAAGAGAGATCCTCATTGTTCAAACTTAGCATTTTTGTCATTCCTATACATTTCAATATTAAGGTACTATTCGCAACTAAGCATATAATTACATTTCAACAGAATATTAAATGTCTACCAAATTTTTTCAAAGATTCAAAACTAAGAAATAAAAAAATCAATGCGTTATTTTTAGTTCACGACTTTTTCAATCAATACGAAAGAAATCTGCTAATCATTCAATTTAATATTATTTCTTTAGATCATAAAAATATTCTATAATCAGTAGAAAGGGAAAAGAAAAAGCAATTCCCATATAGAAAATAAAATCCTGTATAATAATAACTCTTTTGGCGCTTTAATTTTAGGCTTTCGGATCAATCGTGTAATATGTCAGCAGTCTATTGTACTTTTTGTTATATTGTACATATTAAAAAAGGTGCATGATAATAATAAAACAGTCGTTTTCATATAAAAAAAAAGAGAATATTTTTCTCCCCTTCAAATCAAATCATTAATCGTATATTACACACAATAGAGAACAACAGTAACTTACCGACAATAGTAAATCTTCGGTCAATAGTAGTTTATTATCCTGACGATCCATGATTTTCCAAAAATAACAAAACTAGTGAAAATCTTTTGCAGCAGCGCACTATGATTAAATTTTATGATTTTTGAAATTTCTTCGGTCTTTCTTGCTACTTCTTTTAGAATTTCTTCTCGGTTCTTTGTTGGAAACAGAAACAAGCTTAGGTGTTACCCTATGATTATTTTACCAAACAAAAGGAAATTTACATAAAATGCAGACAGTCGAACGTTGCTTCCAAATTGTTGAAAGAAAATTCTAACGATTTTTAATGAGGGAGCTTTTCCCTTTTTTTTATATTCGACAATCCCACACGAAATATATGTTTTTTATTTATTAATTCTTTTTATAAAAATCAGAAGTCTTCACCTCCCTCAACTCTAATTGGATCAATGGGTGAGATACATGAGGGAACGAAAAAAATTAAACTCAATGATTCTTCAATGCTCCTTCAGTTTCCAATGCAACAACCTTATAATTTTAATTAGAATCACATAATCAGTCAGTCAATCAGTCAATAGAATCAAATTCTTCTTTTTAATTAAAATCTATGAAAACTCACTTTTTTCACTTCGTGTAAACAAACTTATATGCAGTAAACCTATAATTGTCCAATCACTTTCTGTAGTTATTGATTTTTATTTTTACTTTTTTCATACAAATAATAGGAAGTTCATTTTCTTAATGTTCAAACGAATTCTGATCAATAAAATCTTTTAATCGTCTATAGCTCAACATGCACTCTAGTGTTGAAAATCCCAACAAGTAAACACCAATTAATTTGTTTTGCTAAATAATTTACACTTTAAAACTTTTTATAGCATCAATATTTGCTCAAGATCGTAATCGACATTCATGTACAAATCATTTTCTTCTTCAGGTATTTGTATGGTTCAAACTACAACTCGACAGACATCATTTCACTTTTAATATTCACCCTAACACGATGCAATAGCACTAGATTGTCACTCAATGCAAGTATAATTACAATTCTGTCAATTATTGAAACAAATAAAAAATATACAATAAGTTCCTTGCCTTTACAATGAAATTATGCAATTCACCGCAATGTCAATCATTTGAGAACGTATGAGCAATAAAGTGACCATCGCGTTACAACGTGAGAATTGAAATGACATGAACAGCACTTTCAAAGAGCAAAGGAAATTTGCATACAAGCAGAAAACTTGCTCTTTTTTAATATTTCTGCCACCGAACTGACGTGTTGAAATGATTGAATCAAACTATTTTATCAAGCTTTTGATGTGGACTCTGATGTGGTCGTTTCCGCGGAATCCATATGAAATGAAAAATACATGAAACTGAATAAAAGAAAGAAAAAAAAATTATTGCTCGAATGGAAAATTGGTACGTTTGGTTATAATTTGACTACAACAACAGAAAAAAAACCGCAATCGAAAACCGATACTTAGGGGAGCCAAAAAAGTAGCATGAAATGGTATAAGTAAGTAAGAGCAAATCATCATCATCCAGCCCTGTCGTAATAATATGCTTAAGTTCAACTCGTGTACACGTATCCAGAAGTAGTGTGGAGCAGAGCACAATCAATGGCTTGTAAATGGATGTGCATGAAACTCGTAGGGTGTAATTACCTACCGGTTGTATATATACCATCGCTATTCCTGCAGTTTCGCACTCACTGGGCATTTTTTTAAGAATATTTTTATAAAGTCCATTCCGATTCCTTGAGGCTTTCGAAATCGATAAAAAAGAGCAATAGACACATGCTCTATAAACATACTTAAATTTGTTCTGTTGCACGTATCTTCTTGACTTCATTTTTTGCCATTCATTACGGGAAAGAAAAATTGGAAACATGTGTGCTGTAAAAAATTAATAGTAATTGAAACAAGCTTCAGTTTTTTTTTTCAATGCATAAAGATGAACTCGACTTTGTCATCACTTTTTATTTTTCATCATACTTGAAAAATATTTTTTGTTATTTTTTTTTTTCTTAGAGGGAATTTTTGTCTTATTAAACCTATTATAACATATCTATACTTATTTTGTCTAATACCTTAATCGAAAGAAAATTATTCATTATTTATTAGTTTTTACATTTCACATTTAATATGATCATTGAACAGATTTACATTGTAAAAATTTAACGAGGATGCTAATTTTTTTGTTCAGCTTGATTAAGTTTTCAAATTATAATTAAAAAATATATGGCAAGTGAATTCTCATGAACTAAAATTAAATTGGCACTAGAAGAAAATAAATTGAGAAGTTCGCGTAGCAATAATAAAATTAGTGTATCTTTCAAGAATCATTAAATAGAATAATTAGGTACGAGAAAATACAAATTTGAAATTTTAAAGTTGATTTTACATAATAAGTGGAATTGGATTTTTCAGGTCCAGAAAAAATTAAATTCTAAACCTCAAAAATTTCTTACATTAAAAGACATGCTTTATGATTGTCTTCGAAAGAATTTCATATATTAAAGGTTTTTTTTTTATTTTCGAAATAAAGATTTATCAAATTTTAGACCTCAAAAACACTGTGTCTCGAGATTATATCCCACTTGTTCAACTCTTTTTATGCCTCGAGTATTAAAATAAGTGTAGTATCAATGATGTTCATTAAGTTCTTATGATTTGATTCTTGAAAGATATTCAATAAAAAAAAATGTTATAACTCAGAATCATTCTCAGCAAAGCTCAAAGTTGACTCGAGATTTTCATCGATTTTGAATCGCGAAGTCGACCCTGAGTTGATTGATTCCATACAAAATTTCATCGACTTTGAGCTCTGATTCTTAGGTTTCTTTGTTAAGAACATCAAAACTATCAAAGAATTTTAAAATTACTCAAATAATATATCATGTATTTCAGGAAGAGGCTCTGATACATCTCACTTGTCAAAAGTTAAAAATCAAAAGTCCGAGATGGTTATCAAGGTTTGTAACAGATCCTTGAAAATACCATAGTTTTTGAGATTGATTCTGAGTAATTTCGTTTTAATAGCGATAAAAAATTGTAGTTCCAGATTAAGAATACATAAAAATCATATTCACAAAAGAAGAAGATACAACTGCTAAATTTTGTATCAGAGATTTTTTAAGGACATTAAATAGTCAAATATGAAAGGAATTTCAATTTAGGAACATTAAAACAATTTCATTAAAAGTGATCGAAAGTGAAATTTTTCGTCGATATTGTCTCTTTACACCTTTTTATATCCATATTATAAGTATGTAGCATTTTAATTAAAATTAAAATTTCTAAAGAATTTTAACAATAATCTCTTAGAGTGGATGGCTGTTTTATGGCCAGAAAAGAACATCCTTCTTGAATTTACACCGACTTCAATATCAAATCTGATCCCAAAAAAATATTCCATAGTTAAAAAATATCAATTTTATTCTTTAGATTCAATTAATTTAAATTTTTTGTGGAACTTCCACATAGAACAATTTATCTACAAATTTACACATTTCACTTTCATCACTTCACAATTTTTTGTCTCTGATTTATCACTTACAAATCTAAGAATTAATTTTCCCTGAATAAACAACTTCATTTCACACTAATTTTCTACAGATAAGCAAATATGCTTAGTATATACTCAAGTATCCTTGCTTGATCACATCTCTTGTATTATAAAATATCGAGCATCATTTATAATGGTGCCTAATATTATTGTTGAGCATGTTGAGATTGATAAGTATTATTTGTAAGAGTATTTGTTGGTGTATTATTGATGTTTATCATTAAATTTGAGGTATTAATGTTGATGGTATTGTTAATTGAAGCATTAAAATTAAGCAGATAATTTTGATCATTAGAAGTGTGCGTATTATTACCGTTGTGGTAATTCGATGATTGTTGATAAAAGCCATTCTGTTGATTTTGTACGGAATTGGTCGTTGCTTGCGTTGGTATTAAATTATTTGATTGTGGTGCTGTTGAAGCAGCTGGTGGTGATGAAAACATTCCACGATTTTGTTCCGGACTCATCATGTGTCCATAAAAATAATTCTTATCCTGATAGAATCGTGAATTTTGATGATGGAAGTAATTACTTCCATATTGATACTGGTAGGGATGGTATGGCTGATAATAATCCTCAATTGAAGGTTTCATTTGCGATGTAGGTGACTGTGACTGTGACTGTATTAATGATGGATCAAGAAAACTACTTCCACTTTTGGTTGTGTCTGTATAATTGGTGGATGATGAATCTACTGTAAAGATTGACGGTTTCATGTCTTCATCATCAACCTTTTCTTGTTTGATGGTAGGTGCTGATGATGACAATGGAGAACTTTTCAACGCCTTTTCTGATTTGTCTCCTTTTTTAGACATCAACTTCTTTGCTTTATTTTCATGTGTCTTTATATGTTTTGCCAAATGATCTGATCTCATGAATTTCTTTGCACAAATCTGGCACTGTGGGAAGGAAATGAGATTGAGAAATAGAAACAAAAAAATTAACAATCTATAAAAAGAATAACTATTATTAATAACCATCTTACCGTAAATCTCTTCTCGCCGGTATGAGTTCGAAAGTGTCTTTGTAGTTCATCAGATCGTGTGAATCTTTTACCACAAAATAGCCATTTACACACTGTGTTAAAAATAAAAGTTCTCAAATTAGTAATTGTGTAACAAAATAATTATATGTTATTTGAACTTACAAAAGGGACGTTCGCCTGTGTGCCAACGCAAATGAGCCTTTAAATGTGACGTTTTTCCATAAACTTTTTCACATCCCGGTATATGGCAGAGATGTTGACGCTTTCCCTTCTCATCAGGTCCCACAACTGGAGGCAATCCAGACAATTCATTTATACAATTAGGACATGTACAACGTGCACAACGTCTCTGTGCTTGTGTCTGTGCATAGTCCTCTAATTTAAAGCCATAAGCATCAGCAGCGGCTAAAGGAGGCCAACTTTGAGAATGATAAAGTGAAGGTGCTGTAGCTGCAGTCGTTGTATGACTAGGATCTTGAAACCATGTGTTGGGATAATAGTTACTTGCTGGATGATATTGATGATATGATGAATATGCATGTGACATTGACGATGATCTATATGAACATACGAAAGACACGGTGATAATTGATGTTGCATTTAAAGTAACTTAGCATAACATTCATCATGCTTCGTTTTTTTTTATTTTTATTTTTTTCAAAATTCTTTTTCATGTTTGAAACTCACCTCGCGGCTATGTCCATATGATGATGATGACTTGAATAAGGTGATTGATGAAAACTGTAGTTATTGCCACTTGCACCACTCGATGATGATGATGATGATTGTACACTATTGGATGGAGTACAATTATTTATTGAAACTGGTGATTCTGGAGTCGTGATGACATCGGGACTAGCTGATGAAACATTCGATTGACTTGAGGTACTCGAAATTGACTGTGTTGGCGATAATCCAGCACTTCCAATTGTTGAATGACCTAGTGATCCCACTGAAGGTGCTTGTGGATATTGATAAGGCAAAATATTAAGAGGTGATAACTAGATTTTTTTTTGGTTTTGGAAAGTGGAAGGAAAGAGAAAAATGCAAGAAAATTAAAGTATTATAATGGTTATAGTATTAAAAAGCTGAAAGACTGTGCTCTATATAAATTATTTTATGGTGCTTATATTTTGGATTAGTTCTTTATCATTTTTTATTTTGTGTTTTTATAAATTAAGGGTTTTAATGATTTATACAAAAATTTTCCAAATTTAAATGCTGATCTGCTGGTTAATTGCATAAATTTTTTGAATTAGGATAGTCAAAAAGATAATATTTGATTTATTTTTTTATTTAAGAATTAAAAAATCTAATCAAAAAAATTATTTTACGACATTTAAAATTAAGAAACTTAATCCCAAAAAAAAAATTCCATAAACTTTAGAGCATATCCAAAATAATAAATTTTATTAAAAATAATTACCTGATTATTTGAATTATTCCAATTGTACTGTGAAACGAAATTTGTAGCTGATGCCATTCTATCAAAAATTCCAAATTCTCTAATCGATGACTTTAATTCCCAAATATGCGTGTTTGGTGTCTTAATATTGTATCTTATATTTTAGCTTCTTAATAATTTTTGTTAATTTTCACTAATTGAATCATTTTACTGTTGCTTATAGTCTATAATTATCACTTTTATTTGTTTTATTGAAAAATGCAGCAAAGATCACGAGAGAACACTTAAAATTCTTTTTTTTTTTTTTTATTTCCTTATCCACACACAAACATTTTATTTGATTAGAAATTTCTTAAATAAACTTTCTTAATAATCCTTAATTGTCATAAACGAACTAGCACGAGATGATCCAATTAAATATTTTTTTCTTTATTTCTTTAAATTGTGAGAAGTGAAAGAATCATCATTCCCGGGATAATAATTATAATGACGTAGTATAGTAAAGTTCGTAAAATATATATAAACACTTTTCGCCAACTGAATTTCAGCAGCAGCAGCGTCTCATCGCACACGAAACTCGAACGGGTATAATTGAAAATAATTATAATAATCAAGCGAGTGCCGTATAATCGATTTCCTATTCAATCGGCAGACAAATTACAAATAAACGTTTTTTCGTAGTTTTCGAGCCAGAGAAAAAAATCTCCCGAAACAGATTCGAACCACCGAAAAAAAAGTATATGTATAAGGTATACTTTACTTGTGTTGGTATGGGAAAGGAGCGATGTTCTGACATGTATGTGTGAGGATTCTTTATAATATTTTATTTTATTTTTTTCTTTCTTCTTCATTTAATTCTTTCATGCTTCATAGTTAGCTGTAAAAATAAAAAAAAGAGAAGAACAAGAAGAAGGAAAAAATAGAAAGAATACAGATCGGGAAAGTGCCACACTCTCATTGAAGAAAAGTATATGTGTTTTTATACTATATATTTATAATATATTTTATTTTTCTACACTCATACAGATATAAAGCATGCGACACAACATGAAGAGATGAAAAGAAGAGAGATCGTAAACACATCTTTGATACACATATATTTTTTCGAGTTACTTCAAAGAGAAATTAAGAAGAAGAACTAGTGAGACCTTAAATATGATGACACAAAGACAACATGTAAGGTTTTAAAATATAAATTTTAATGATAATAATAAGTATGCTAGGGACATGCATAATATGACGATATTAACTCAACAGCATTTTATGTGATCTGCAATTTTTTTTACATGCTCTCTGTGCGTAGTAAACAATTTTACAATGATTACAGCTTTTTCAACTAATTCATTAACTACCCTCTACTGCCTCACGAGAGATCGTTGTTGTTTCATTTCGTTAGTGATGCGAGAAAAAAATCTAAAACTGAATTTAATATAATATAATATAACCCTCCGATTGATGATGAAAGCGCGCACACACAAATGTAATAATAATCAGATCCAATCGAATAATAACTGTTTTTAAACGGGCGTGGTTACGGGAGTTTCGCTTTTGCCTTTTTCTCGAGATTTTTTTTTTTCTTTTCTCATTTCTTATTTTATGCTCATTGCGCCGCTTTTCCAAAAAATAAAATAAAATAACCTCATGGAAATTTTTTTTTGTCTTGCAATGTTCGCAGGACGATCATTTATTTAAAAAATCTACACCCGTCAGCAGTTTTTTTTTTAATTTTCATTCTCAAATTTCTGTTTTTTAAGTTTTTACGCATTTTCCTTGTCAGTTAATGATAATTTCTATTTTTGGAACTGTTTTTATGATTTAAATGAATGAAAATTGCGTGAACTTTGCTTAGCACATTGAAAGTAAATTCATAAACCTAAACTTAGACCTACATGATCCTTATTCTCAGACAAATTTCAACAACACTTGCATTAAATCTGGTAAATTACTTCCAATGCTAACGATATATCGATACCTGTTTGAACTATTGTTACTGTACATAATAACATGATTGTTTCAAATAAACAAATATAAATATCCACAAGGCTCAATGAATAATGTTCATGTTTGATCAAAACCAATAAATCTTTGAAGCTCAGTCATATTTGGGGTAGCCATCTGCATATTTTTTATTAAGACAAACTAGCTTTAGATTGATTTTATAAACCGCATTGAAAATTTCAGTAAATACCAGCAAATTTGATAGTCATCCTTGCAATACTCAAGTCAAAAACCATTGAATGCTTAAAACTTATGAATGAAATAATTTGTAAACATAAATAAAGATCAAGGACGCTATAAAGCCGATTCAAAGTGAACATTTTGAATCATAATCAAAAATTATTGTGGTATTGATGGATATATTTATGTCAATAAAAATAATTTGACCTGTTTATGATTATACACGAAAGATTTATATCAAATGAAAATGAAAAATATGATTTGACCTTCAAATGAATCGTGAGTACGGAAAAAGAATTTCTTCATCTCAACCAACTGTAATGAATAATGATTTCTGGCTTTTGAGCTTGTGTCTGTCTCACTTTATTTAATTTTCAAGCCTTCAAGAAAAATTTCACACTTTCTCGATATTTTTCATCATAATTTACTGCCCACGATTTCATATTCATCATATGTCAGCCATGAATCCTATTTATTCTTAAAAATAAACTGTTATGCATTTTTTTTTATTTAACGCATCTGAATATGCAGATAGTTAAGCTTGTAGTGACGCTTGACCTAAAATTTAATTCGATTACTCGAAGATTATTTCTAAATTCTAGTAAATACAAGACAATTGTCAAAAAAATATTATGCTTCAGCTTAAGACATACTGTGATGAATACAAATGTGTAGAATCAGATTATCGACTTTTTCCTTCTTTCCTTTATGTCTACTTTTAAGAAAACAAAGATGAAACTTTTGTAACATTCCGAATCTGTCAGGTTCATTTGAATAAATGCAAAAAGACACTCAAATATTTTGCCGATATGTCCAAGATGTTAAATTTTGGGGTTTTCCCGATATCATTGGCTCCATTATAATGCAGACACAGTTTATTCTACAAACGGAAAATAATTATTGATATGAAATTATTACAATTCACGTCACATTACCTAAAATCATCATGTCGTTGCATGCATCAACTGTTCACAAGTCATAAAAAAATCAGGTAAGCAATTTTCAGGCAGAAAAAAATTCAGCCATGATTTCCTTTCGATTTCAAGTTCAAATAATTAAAGCACAATTGAAATACACTATCAGCCAGATACACGTGCATTTAAATCGAGCACGTTCGTATTTGAAAGAGTAGGAATTAAAAAAAAAGAAAGCAAAGATGAGAGTAAAGCCTCTTCCAACCCACAATGTCCTCCTTCAAACGAGCAACAAAAAATTCTTTTTAAAGATTTGAAACATTTGTTGATTCTGCATCTGATTTTTAACTGCTTTAAGGGAAGAATATTTTCGGTTGATAATTGATTTTTGTTCCATTATTTACTTCTTTTATATTATTTTGTTGCCTGCTGCCTTATTTTATTGTGACATCATGATGATGCATCAAAAAATTCTCCTTCTATTTAATTAGATTCCATGTCTTCTGGGCTGTGACTTAAAACCACCTATTTGCTCAATCATAATTTTAGTAAACAATTTTTAATGGAAGTGCTAATATGAACCAATTCCTCTCATTTTTCGTGGACAATGACATTTTTTTTTTTTTGAGAAATAAAAATTCTCATTTCCAAAGGTGGAGCATAGATCATAATACTTTGATTAACTTCTTTTCATTTCGTTACAGATTGAATGTCAATGATGGTGTAGGCAGATAACGATGTAGGATATATTGAAAATCCCAATATTTTGTTGTACTTTTAATTTATATTATGGTTATATAATTGGAACATGAGAAATATGAAAATTGTCTTTTGTCTGTACTGTATATGTTAAGGTAGATTCAAGCTTTCGTTTTAAGGTTAATTTAATAATTTTAAAATTCATTTTTTAAGATTAGATTGGATTTTTGAACAACATTACAAGGTAGCAAATAATTTTGATGCCACTTTACAATTCCAAAACTTAATATTGAGGTCGAGGTTCTGGTCTTATACAAAAGCAAATTTTCTTGTTAGTAGAAACATTATTGCATTTGAGGATTGGCCTGTGATAGAACCAGAAATAGCTGACATCTAAAGAAGACCATGAAGCGCAATAATTGAACCATTATACCAAATAATTTAATTAAGAATTAAATTAGATTTCCTGGAAAATTATTGATATGAAAGTTTCTTATCCTTGATATCTATCGCCGGAAGATCTATTTAGTTGAGTTTGAAGTTTTTCAAGCTCAGGTCAAATTTTCAAATGTTTGAAAATTTATGTTTTTTACTTCGTAAATTTATTTTATTAACCCAGGTAAGTTTTTGTTGATTTTTATTCCAATTTTTTCTAATTTGTTCTGAAATTATAAATCATTTAAAATTATCATGAAATGCATAAGCTTTTAATATTTCATACCGAGTTACGCACCTAGAATTACGGAATCAATTAATTTCAAAAATTCTTTATAAACTCCTTGGGGGCCGTTCACTTATTACGTTACGCAAAAAAACTACCCCTTCACCCCCCCCCTCCTTCCTTGTTACAATATGTTACAACTCACAACCCCCCCCCCCCCCCCCCCTGAACGTTCATAATTTATTTTATTTTGATAATTTTTTATAGGTATTATGATTGTATTTTAAAGTCTTGTGAACCAATTTTCTATTGATTTGTTACTTTATATAACAAAAACTATGTATTGCTTAGCTATCAAAAGTGATCTGGACATTCATAAATCATTAAAAAGGTGGAAAATTTAAATTGGTGTGAATTTGTAAACAAATTTTTTTCGTAAACTTTTTTTAAGAGACAGACGACAGTTTAAACGTTTCATTCTTCTTGACACCCCCCCCCCCCTATGTTACATTTGGTTACAATTTTTCAAACCCCCCTCCCCCTAAAATACGAACGTAATAAGTGAACGGCCCCTTGAACAGAACCATCAAAATCTAATCATTTCATGCTTTTAGATAATTATTCATGCCCAAAATCCAAAGATTTCACTAAGGCTACAAAAGCTAATCGAAAATTCAAGTAAGATTATTTGAATATCATAATTAAATGGAAATTAATGACAATTCATGAAATTATCAAGCGTATAAAGATAAGATTAATGAGTATTTTCATAATTAACAAAGCATTTACAAATAAAATATTTATCATAAATGCACTAAGGCTCTCGAAAATTAATCGTTTGCTTACATTTTAAATTTCATGGTCTTTAAAATGTCTCATCCAGCAA